ACAAAGAATATCAAAGAAGTTTACGTAAATGTTTTGAACGTTCGTAAGTGTCAACGGTGGTTCAGCAAATTTCGTTCAGGTGACTTTAGCCTTAAAAACTGAGATGGGAGGGGCCGACATGTTGGAATTGATATTGATGCTCTGAACGCCCCTACGGCTGAAAGGGCGAGTACGTTCGGTGGTGGGAATCGAACCCGCGACCATGCGATATATAATGCCTAGACAGAGGAAAACCATTAACAGCATAACTCCATTAATTCATTTTTTTTTATCGAAATTCATCAATACTTAATATAGGCTAAACAAGTAAAACCTCCCCTGTGAGAATTTGTTTGTCTACTCATATGCACAAAGGTGCAGAATGGGCTATCTTCGTTTTGCCCACTACATGGATCAAGCCCCACATTTTAGCACTACAAGCCCTCAGTCTAACCGCTGAGCTACTGGTGCGTGCTTTTGAGAGAACTATCTATCTTTATTAACTTGTTATTTGTTAATAAAAGAATAATATGCTTCAAACAGAATTTTGACTCATGACGTCAAAGAACAGTGTGATCTTTCTTTTTAACTTTAGAAACGCCATCTGTTAGGATATATATTCAACAGACGAAAAAAAAAGCACAAAAGGAATAGGTTTATTCTATGTGTTAACAACTGATTAAAGAGTTGACTGTGTTTAATCTTTAAGTCAAAGTTTACTCTATGTGCTAACAACTGGTTAAAGTGTTGACTGTGTTTAATCTTTAAGTCAAAGTTTACTCTATGTGCTAACAACTGATTAAAGAGATGACTGTGTTTAATTTTTTAAGTCAAAGTTTACTCTATGTGTTAACAACTGGTTAAAGTGTTGACTGTGTTTAATCTTTAAGTCAAAGTTTACTCTATGTGCTAACAACTGGTTAAAGTGTTGACTGTGTTTAATATTTAAGTCAAAGTTTACTCTATGTGAACAACTGGTTAAAGTGTTGACTGTGTTTAATTCTTTAACTCAAGATCCTGGCGTTCACTTGTGAGAAAAGACATTCTACCAATATGTTAAAATCTTGCCAATTTTTTTCACCCTCTGTCTAGCCATCTCTCAGTTTTACTAACACGTGTCAAGCATCGATTTTCACAACGTGTCGTTTTGACTGATTCAGAAAATTGCACGAAGCTGTTTGTTGAACTTTGAACATTTTTACATCATAGTTAACTGGTTGACTTGTTAAGCACAAGTAAACATCTGTGCTAGTTTCCCATCACGGGTATCGAAACTCGATTTTTAGCGTCCTAAGCCTGCAGAGTTGCCGCTGAGCCACAGAGTGAGGCAAAAGTATAGACAACTGACTTCCAACGGTTTTGTATATTTTCACTAACATTCAAAATAATAGTATTATGTCTCTACAAGACTAAGTAAGGTATAGAAATTCTAATATTTCAGACATACGTCATGCTAACTATTACACCCTTAAAACCGCGGAAATCTACAGATCTGAAGAAAATACATAGATGCATCGAAAAGGATTTCTCGACCTGCTAATACGAGTCCTTGTTATCATTACGAGTTTATAAGATTACACGAGTATCAAATACTACAGTACAACACGGTTTCTGATGCTACACTAGGCATATCTTCCTATCTGATGCTACACTAGGCATATCTTCCTATCTGATGCTACACTAGGCATATCTTCTTTCTGATGCTACACCAGGCATATCTTCCTTTCTGATGCTACACTAGGCATATCTTCCTTTCTGATAGTTATAAATTTTCGTTTAGCAAGCTTATTTGTCAGCTATACTCACCAGATAGAATCAATATTCAGCCTCTCAATGGGCTCACCCTCGTCATCAAAGAAGTAATCAATGGTGAGACTATTGTGCGTGTCATGGGCTGAAGAGAAGTTGGTGACGCTTCTGGCCGGGATTCCGAGAGCTCTACAGACTGACAGGGAAGATAATTAAAAACACAACTTTCATTAACAAACATTTCATCTTATCATTAACGTTACGAGCATAACAATGGAGAAGGAAGGCGGGTTTTATGTAATAACCAACTACCAGTACATTCTAAGTTAACAAATAATTGATTCGTGCTGACAAAAACAGTGGAAATAATATTTATAAACTATACTGAATCGCGTACGTATTAATTGGTGTTCATATATATACACATACATATTTATATAAACGAACTTTACGTTGCAAAAGAAAAAAATTAAAGGAGTCTTGAATATGCTATTGTTCTCTTATGTGTTTATACATTTAGTACTTAAGCCTGAAAACTCGTGCTTGATATTAAAGCTTTGAACAATTTTTTTTTTTACAACTCTGCTTTTAAAATCATTTGAGAAATTAATAGTGACCACGTCAAAGTTTGTGTAAAACATCCTAATTGTTTTCTCGCTTCGTTTTATACGTTGGTTAATAGTGTGAACCATGAAATGACTTTGTTCTGTACATCAGTTGCAGTTCCCGACCTAAAGACATTCTTCTAAATGTTTTGGTTATTTATACATATGGTTAGAAGCTCGCCACAGTAAAGGAACTTTGAAACTGTTCCAGCTTACCTGTTGTACAGACGCCCGAAAAAACCCAGCATTGTCCATACTTCACTGGTTTCTTGTTCTTGAAGAACTGCTGAAGAATAGCCACACTACCCCCCCAGGAAGTAGGAGACTGTCCCCCACCATAATCTCCTGACCAGTTACCAACGAGGACACCATTGTCATCAGGAGAGTTAACCTAAAAGTTTTATATTAATGTATATATGTCATGGAAGTATTCAGCATATGACAATATAGTGTTGTTATTTTTTAATTCCCATATATTCGAATCTTACTAAATTTAAAATTCTACCCCATGGACTTTGTAAAAAAGATTCACGAATAATCAGTCTATTGTCTAGGTGCTTTTCTGCTTTTTGAATAATTGGTACTTTTTGAAAGAACAATTTAAAACAATATATACCTAAAAACGTAATTTTTTTTTGTACGTGCAAAATAGAAAAAAAATCTAGATGGATAATTATAGATGTAATTAGCAATATATATTCTTGCTGATTAAGTGTAGCCATGTAGGAGGTGAGTACTGCTGACCAGTTGCCCTCCCTTTGGTCAAGAGCTCAAAATTATGGACAGCTGTGTCTGAACCTTGGAATATCTTAGTACGACCGCTTAGCCAATGTGTTCCATAAGGTGTCATTAAAGTTTAAAGAAAAAGTCAAACATCTTGTTCATTAATTACAGCTTCTGACATAGAGTGGGTTTAATTAAATATTGCTACCCCCCCCCCCCCTTTCGGATAAGGCCGCTGAGGTACATTGTAATTTTTTCCCTACCGTTAAATTTAGAAAACTGTCTAGAAACTGTACTTTTGTTGGTTGTATTTATGTACATTTTAACAGAACGTATATGCAAGTCCAATGTTTCTAATTACTGGATATGATCTTCAACAAACATTAGTTCAGAGCTTTACGTCCGAGTGACTAGTGGTTAAAATGTTGAAGCTCCGTTAGAAGTGTCATCTTCAAAAATTTAGCCACAGGTCATTTGGACGTAAAGCTTTTAACTAGTGTTTTTAAGTTTGCCCGAGTATTTTTTTCCCTAGCTTTACGAAGGTTCAATTTAGTTGTTGTTCTTTCGTGAAACTGAAATATCAGTTTTTTCTCGTGTAGACTTGAAACTGTAATTGTTCTACATTTGAATTTTGCTCCTAACGAGTGTGGGAGGGGAGAAATATCGGGAAAAAACGGTGAAATCTGTGAATAAAATTACAAGACTCGTTATTTCGTCGTTCTGTTCGATCAAAGGAAACTTCTATACTATTTTAATCGTGTTCTGTTCAGCAATTTGATAATTTTATTCTATTTATAAATATGAAGATGAAATCCTAGTACAGAAATTAACTTACCACAGAACTGACATGGCGTACAACACGAGCTGGATCAGCGCGTCCAACAATGTTGAGCTTTCCTACGTGACTCAACAGATAACAACAGCACTCCAGAATATTTTCTTCAAACTTTTGGAAAGATTAAAAAAAATAACTTTGATAATTTTTTTGGTGGGTGTAAGCCTCATTAATCACAGATGCTATTAAGAAGAAGCAAACACTTTTTAACACTATCACACGTTACTTTAAATATAACATTGGTTGGTGTGCTCTAAGCCTGTAAGGAATAATATTCTATAGTCACTATAACGTACTGTAAATGATAAATAACTAACGTACAGCCCGTCAAAAATGACAGGGCAAGTACTACCACCCCCACCCCATAGTACATATATACCGTATTTCATAGCTAACATAGCTAACCAACAAAGAGGCAGAAAAGGGCAGTCAAACGTCGGTAAATTCCTTTGTGGACCAATTAAAATTAAGATCATTCATGAAATGAATTCGTTCAGTATTCATAGAATAATTATTGGTAAACATCAGTTAGGTTAACAACTTCTAACATATAGAAACGCCAGTCCGTTTTGGTAACACTACGTTCCAACAATGACTTTTATGACATGTTGCTTAGCAACAAAAGTATAACCTAATCTAACCTATATAAAAGACGGTGTGTGTCACATCACGCTTAATTTCTATTCATTTTCTTCTCGAAATACGAGACGTGATAAAAGCCAAAATGCATTTATCCAAATAGAATAGTTCGATTACTGTCTGCCCATTATGATTTTAGTTACGGGGGTGCAAGGGGGCGTAAGTGATGTGTGTGTGTGTGCCATGAAACCTTATAAGTGTGGTGAGTGTCGGTATAATAAGCCTAAAGTTAAGACGTAGTGTGGGATCACCTAGCCTAGAGCCAAGTTCATATCACCAACGTTTATAATATATATATAAACTCTTTAATCAACAAATATTTTTCTAGTTTTGTTGTCTATAAATTTCATGTTATACTTTCAGTACATAGACTTAACTTGTCATCTTATTTTCTAGACAGTCTGTCATAATATAACTATAAATGGCAGTAAATGTTTAGAATTAACTTAGGCTAAAACTACAGTTTAATTTGCACAATGATATGAATTTCTTACTGTTTTAAATGGTAGATTATCTGTTCTAGTGCAATGCTATACAACAGGCTGTCAGCCACGAGGAATCGAAACCCAGATTTTAGCATTGTAAGTCCATAAATTTACCACTGACCCATTGGGTGACGTACAGGGTGGAACTGAAGAGAAAGTTTAACTTTTTTAACTGTACTTCTCAGAACATTGGAATCTCATATATCCGTCTGTCTCCCGTTTGAAAAGAAAGCTGTGCACGCAGGCAAAGCTCAGCATTCACTTTTGAAATGACGGGAAAACAGGCATGAAATAATCTTGATGCCAAATTTTATTTCGCAAGCAGGATATTTTACACTAAATTGTTAGGAATAAATTACACTATGGTTCATATTTTAGAATGTAACGTAACTTAATGAATAAAAATGTAGATTTACCGTAAGTTATTGTTGAGTGGCTCTTAGCATGACTGAAATGATAAACAATTACTTTTCTCAGTGGGCGGTATAAGTAGCTCAGATCTTTGGCTTCGAGTGAAACCAAAAGTGCAACACAATTAACTTTTTTAAAGTCCATGAAATAATTTAAATTGATAGATTAACTTTAACTTTTCCCGTCACTGGGGACGGGTACATTTGATTGTTCGTCCATAAAATAGAGACAGTTATTTTCATTATTTACTTATCTTCACGGCTTCATGACAAGGAACTTGATTTAGGAAAACATATTAATAAAACTCCTTAAATGAAAAGTTGAAATACATTATTTTCGACTTTCCATACGCGGAGATCTGATTGTCGTAAAAATATCATTTTTATCACTTTAGAATAATTAACTCTCGAATGTCCGTTCCCTGTATAAAGATGTTATTGTTGCTTATATATAATATTCTGGTATAAGGATACAAAAGGATAGCTGTAAACATGAGTAAATATAGAAAATAAAGACACAGACACGAATTATTTCGAAATAAAAGAACTGCCAACGTTTCGTGATTCAAGTAGAATTGTTAGAACCAAAACTCATTAAAAGCGAATAGCGAAATAATATACTGAGTTAATAAGCCTTTCTTTCTGATGCATACCTGTCCATAGTTCCATATGCATGGTCTGAGCCGGTTATGGCTTCCACGCCAAATAAGTCCACTTTCGTTCAACACGTACTCCTTCCTCCATTCTGGGTCACTCATGTACACCGTGTCCTCTAGAGGAGTTGTTAAGAACCAATTTAGATTAAAAGAAAAAAAAAAAGGAGTCCAGTAAGCCTTTTAACCTAAATAATTGTGTAGAGCGAAAATATGTTACAGAGAGAGAATGAATAAATCCGTATAATACCAGACTTAAGAGATTCAGTGCTTTAAAAGTATTTTAAGTGTTATTCAATAAAAAAAACAAAATATATTTGTATAATATTTAATTCTGGAAAACATTCCTTTACTAATTGAAGCACTTATCAAATTAAAATGGTGGAATTATTTAGGGCTGCACCTGAAAAAACAAATTATGGAAATATTATGTTAATTATGCAAAAAAAAACAAACAAGAACTGCGTAGAGGATGAATTTTTAAGCCCTCTACAAATAGCCATTTAAAACATCAGCCAAACAGACAGCTAGACAAATGGTTAAAGTGGGGCGGTTTGCACTGGTATGCATATAGGTAAGAAAAACAAAATGGTGGTATAAGATACCGGCAATATATTTAAAAAAAAAAGGTATAATGCTGCAAAACACCCTACCCACATTCCTTTCGTTGGATTTAGTGTCTCTCTGCAACAAGTATGTTTCACCTCAGTTCACTGCCCTTATTTTCTGAAAACGACTACCTGTCATCCCCTCCTTTCCCCACATACGTGCATAACAGCTCTTTTAACAAACCACCTTAAACACTGATAAATATAGATAGATACACCAACAGATAGGTTGATAGATATATCTTGTAAGTGTTTCAAAAAATAACCCCTGGTTATATTAGCTAATTTAAAAATGTTACTTTCTCTCTGTCTCACGTTCATTTCAATTGGTGGAATACGGACTGAGGAAACTGACGAATAAACATTAGCAACCAAGCGTATCTTAATCACTTTTCTTAGGCCTAAAAAAAAGCAACACTGCGTCACCAGTTCATTATATTACTTTTATAAATATTATGCATTTTCTAGAAAATTCGATAGAAAAAAAATGTTTAAAATGTAATAAACTATGAACGAAGAATCATTCTATTTCTATGATTGGTGATTACATACTTAAACGTAGAATTCTGATTAAATATTCTACACAACTTAATATTTATTGAACCTCAAGCTTGACTATTTGTTTTACACCTGAGATTCAATTATCATACCATTTCAAATTCATAATTGTCGAGAGCGCTAGGTTTTTTTATTTAGTAATAAAATGATAAAATATTTTAGGCACTGACTGCTTCCTCTTTTTTCTCCACTAAAAATATATGTATATATATTTAAATCCTGGAGGGCTTTAGTGGAACTTTCGGTTCTTATATTATGAACATGTAGATTTAAGTGGTCCTGGTGCTATCGTTTATTTAGAGACTTAAAGAATATAAAAGAAAGTTACACTTCACAACCTGAAACTTGGTGTTAAACTGCGGGTTAACTTGTAGAGAAAATTACTATATCTCCAAAACTACTTTTAAACTGTAGTAATCATCACTGTGGTACGAAGAAATTTTAACAGTGAGGGTCTACTCCGTCAGAATTAATTTCCTAGTTTTTGGAAAAATTTTTGAAAGTTTCAAATATTACATTAGTAATAATTATGTCCATGGATAAGCCAGTCCAAAAGAAACTGGCTGTTTCAAAATTTCCATAACTGTTATATAATTATTCATCCATCCAGTGACAAACATTGTAGTTGAAGCACAAACAAATGTTACGTTATTTATATATTTTTCGAGAGCGCCCCCCAGTGGCACAGCGGTATGTCTGCGGACTTACAACGCTAGAATCCGGGTTTCGATACCCGTGGTGGGCAGAGCACAGATAGCCCATTGTGTAGCTTTGTGCTTAATTACAAACAAACTGTAAACATGAGTTTCAAGTATACGCTTTTCATAACGATATAACTTCAACCCTTGATGTAAACATGAGTTTCAAGTATACGCTTTTCATAACGATACATCTTCAATCCTTGGTGTAAACGTGAGTTTTAAGTATACGCTTTTCATAACGATATAACTTCAACCCTTGATGTAAACATGAGTTTCAAGTATACGCTTTTCATAACGACCAAGGGTTGAAGATGTGTCGTTATGAAAAGCGTATACTTGAAACTCATGTTTACCCCAAGGGTTGAAGATGTGTCGTTATGAAAAGCGTACACCTGAAACTCATGTTTACATCAAGGGTTGAAGATGTGTCGTTATGAAAAGCGTATACTTGAAACTCACGTTTACACCAAGGGTTGAAGATAAGAAAAAATGAATCCTTCACGGAATAACGCAAGGTCTGGGATTCTTCGTCTTTTGCTGACTTCAGTTTGGTATCAATATCAAAATTCCACTCGCCTACAATTGCACTAGGAATGGAGGAGACCTAACGTACAGAAATAAGAAAAAAAATATCATTCAAAAAAAAATTCCAATAGTATAAAATTGTGACAAGGGAGAAAACAATTACGAAATACATATAAAACCCAGTTTAAAATTTAAACTGGGGTACAATTTTTAGAACATAATTCTCTAATATGGCATTTTGAAGAAAACGAAATTTTTCCTAAAAAACAAATAAAGATAATAATCATTTATAGATACCACCAAATAAAGATAATAAACATTTATAAATACCACCAAATAAAGATAATAATCATTTATAGATACCACCAAATAAAGATAATAATCATTTATAGATACCACCAAATAAAGATAATAATCATTTATAGATACCACCAAATAAAGATAATAATCATTTATAGATACCACCAAATAAAGATAATAATCATTTATAGATACCACCAAATAAAGAATCAGAGATAAATGTGTGAAAACGATTAGTAAACTGAATGTTGTGTAAACTTACTGAGCGTGGTCCAATAGTTTGCATACCGGGCTGCGGATCGAAATGTCTCGAGATATTCTAGCCCACGAAACGTCATGGAATACGTTCTGCCTTTCTGTTGATGACGTAATGTAAAATAGGAGTAAATTCTGCTGTTCGGTTAACAGTAGCCTTGCAGACAGCCGGTGATGTTTACCGATTGCCAGCAGTTCTGAATTATGGATGGCTATGGCTGAACTTTTAGTATCCGGACTGGCCGTTTAGCTCCCTGTGGTATTTTAAAAGATACTCTTTTTTTTTCAATTTTCATAACTCATTCTAAAGCAAAGAGAGACTTCTAATTCTACAAATTTGACGTCTGAAAAGTTATTAAAAGTGAATGGAAGTATTATTATGTTATACAAAGATTCTTTGAAAATGTTTCGTTTTGTGTGTTGTGTTCTAACACTAATAATTTCTAGGAATTTCTATAGAAATAATAACGCAAAAAATTTGTCTAACTCCACTCACTCGAGTATCAAGGAGATAAGATAAAGAAATTAACACCAACATTTAAATTTATAATGTAAGACTGATTGCCTATATTACAGTAGTAATGAAAATATATACGATTAGCTTTATTATAGTGATCATATTTCGCCAGATTTAGTATTATAAAATATTTAATATTTTCAACCTGAACGGCACCTTATGCGACACACCAAAATATGTTTTGTAATGAGAAGTTGGATATATATTTTGTTAGAATTACATTGTGTGTTTGATTTCCGTCACTAATAAGAAGAAAAACTACCTTTACGAATACTTCCACCATTAATAATCTTTCTACCCCATGTTCCCATTAGCCAACTATAAACCAAGAACTTGTTCAAAACCACGTAATAATAGACAAATATTTTTGTTGTGTGATAAAAAATTTTTGGCGTTAGCTGAATCTTTTCAATGTGGAAAACGAACCGGATAAAAAAATCTTGCAAATCTCAATGTATGCGAGTTAAATAAAGCAATTAGTCCATGTGTATGTCTGTGTCCGTGCTTGATCTTTAACACAATATTAGCACCCAAATTTAATGTTTACTACATCTAGAATTTCAGAGTGGGCAGAAATTATTACATTACTTGAAACTGATTTTCTTCTTCTTATGAACTTAATCCAATTTTGGTAGGGAGTCAGTCGCTCGGGTCTTCCTTCTCCATAGGTAAAGGTCTTGTGTATCATTTTTAGTTGCACCAACCTCTTTCACACGCTTCCCCACCAAATTCTCTTTCTTCCTGTCCACCACATCTCTCTACCATATTCTCTGTCTTCCTGTTCACCATATTCGCTGTCTTCTTCTACTTCTTCGACGTTTCACTGGCATTTCCAATCCTCTTCTCACTGCACATCCTTCTTCACTTCTTATTACGTGTCTTCAGTCTTGCTTCACTTGCTTTTTCTGGGATTTTACAGACTCCAACACTTTTCCTAATGCCATCACTCATTATTATTTCTCTCAAAGATATTCCCAGTATCCAAATTAACATTCTCATCTCTATTCTTTCTAAAATACCATTCTATTTTTCTTTTTTATGGTCAAAGTTTCTGCTCCACAAAGCAGAACTGGCCTAACTACTGTTTTGTAACTTTTTCTCTTTAGCTTCAGCGGTATTTTTGTTGTTGTCAAGAATCATCCTTGAGACTTCCTCACATGGTGCCCGGCATGGCCAGGTGGATAAGGCGCTCGACTCACAATCTGAGGGTCGCGGGTTCGAATCCGCATCCCACCAAACATGCTCGCCCTTTCAGCCGTGGGGGCGTT